ATCAGACCAGATGTAAGCTATTAGTCACGTAATGCAAAATTATGGCTTTATACTTTGAATTTATGAAGGTTAAAAGAATGTGACTTAACAAGCTGTGACTCACAGTGCAGATTTCTCAGCTCTTACCTGTGCTTTTTAGAACGCCAGGGCTGTACCCAGTGTACAAGTCCAGTGTTGGGCTGTGGAAGGAAAAGAAGAAAAAAAGACATTTGCTCAGAATACTAAGTCTCAAAAACCTCCAATGTCAGCAATCCATTTGAAAGGACATGTTTTCAACTTTATGCTTGTGGCCTTGTAGCTAATTACAAACAGTTGCAATATAAGAGTTATGCAAATAAGAGAATAAAGGTATTGCCACAGCTTCATGACATGATAAAAACATTTCACATAGAATATAGCTTAAAAAAGGCCCATGAGAATAAAAAATATCCAAATAAACACATAGCAAAAAAGCTTTTGGAAACCCCCCACTTCCATTTTGACACAAAATATAGCGCTAATAGCAAGTACGTCACTGGAAAACACCTCAGGCAGATTATCATTTTATTGTGGTTTCAACTTAAGGAAGTTCAGGTAAAGCAGGGACGTAACTTTACAGAGGAGCTTCACTGAAACTGTACCAAACAGCTGTAAATGGGACTTGCTCTGATGCTCTCAGGTGGGCCGAAGAGCTCATTTCTTGCAAGAGAACAGATGGTGCAAGGTGAACAGATGTGCTTGGGGCCATTGGGTTCATCCAGCTGTATCTGGTTGGACCTTCTAAAAGTGGCTGGAGGACTTGGGAAACACACGGCGGAGATGTCCGTTCCTCAGGGGATTTATTTTTACATGATGATTTGCTGCCCTAACACTTAGGTTTCATCCAGGGAGGACCAGCTCCATAAACTCTTCTGAACTATACAAAGATTCTGCTTTGGCAAAACATCAGAAGGAGCAGCACTTGCAGCCATACCAAACATGAATGTCTACGTGTAACATATCAAACTTGATATATAAAAGGACTCCTGTGGCAATTTGTTTCCTTTTACTACTTTAAAAGTTATTTAATGCATTTTTTTTTAACTTACTTTTCTTCATTTCTCAATCTATTTCCAAACAGCAACAGCTCATCCTTTTCAGGCAGCATATGAAAGAAGGGAATAGATACATAAGTTAAAGACTGCACAAAGAGCATGTGTTTTCAGTGGGAGAGCATGCTCAAAGAATGATCTACATTGCCTTGGACATGTCTCAAAGGACTGTCTCTAATTGTCTTAAGGACATTTTTTAGTCTGTTTATGGTGGCCTTGACATGCACGGTCACCAAACTGCCCCGAAAACAAACAATCCTCCTCAAAAAACATCCACTTATCTGAGCAGAACCATAAAGGCAAATTGTCAAGACTAGATTTGAGGAGCAACAATTATTTCTGTAGGGGAACAAAAAAGGCAACTTGGCTGTCCCAGTCTCAGAAGCAGACATTTTTTTTTTTTGTGAAGAAAGGCCAAATTGCAAAAGCAATGTCCCGGGTCTCCTCAACACAAGACAGAAATGGAGCAGAACACCAGGACACATACACTTAGGAGGAGCGTTTGATTCGAAGGAGCCTGATCCAAAGTACAGGACCCAGATAAGGCAAATTCTGCAACAGGCACACACATTGACAAGGACAGTGGGACAAAAGTAAATACTTGATTTGTGAGACACTGAATGCTTTTCTACAAGCTCAATTCTGAGCTTTCCCAACCGATGAGGTGCTCAGCTCTACTCAGGCAGATACAGTCCGAAGCCTGAGAAGTTGATTCATAAACTACCTCAAGCACTTGGTTCTTTGCAGGAAAAGAATTTACCAAGGAAATCATGAAGTCAGGGTTGGCAAGAAGAGCTGCAAGTCTTGGAAAAGGGGACCAGGAAGTCTGTAATGTCACCTGCAGAAGACAACCATGCTGAACCAAGGAGCAGGCTGCTCTAAAGGTCAAAAATAGAGGGTCACAAAATAAAGGCTGCACAACACAGTTCATCTGGGAATAAGAGACATTGAAAAACAGATGAATAATACGGCTTGCTCTTCCTGGAAGATGTGTCACTGATCTGATTGTCAAGGACAGAATTGGGGTCAGCCCACATGACATAATGTTGAACACGAAACAATAACTGGAATTTAATGCCAAGGAAAGCCAAATTTGAAAAGGGTCCTGAGAAACTATAGTGAGGGCTATTACCCATTCAAACCAACTCTCAAAAGAAACAACAAAATCCCCATCTCTTGACATTTTAATATAGAGACCAGAAATCTTTCTGAAAGGCTTAACAGTCAAAACAAGGTATTAGGTTAAAAATGACTTAAAACCAATGACTTGTTCCCCTTGCTCAACTTACATAGAGTAAGCTTGGAGTAAACTAAGTGAGCTGGTGAACAGCCCGGTTGCAGCATCACAGTCCTTTGGAAATGAACACAGGTAGTTATCTGAAGTGGAAGACAAGAAAATAATAACTCATCCTCTTAAAAAAATACACCTCATGTTTTCACATTTTGGATTGTAAAAACAAAACGGTCAGATTAAACAAATAAACAAACAAAAAGAACCCCCAAACTGAAGGGACTGCAGGACTTACTCACAGACTTTCCAACTGAAAACCCATCCCAAACCTCCCTGTTCTGAAAGAGCATTTCCTAATTGCCTTTCACACTTGTTTTTTATCATTTGCTAGCAATTCTTCCTTCTATTTGCTATTTATAAACAATCATTTCCCCAACTTGGCATTTGCTTTCAGCTAAACAATCCAAGTTATTCTAATTTCCTCTCATGTGATAAGCCCTCCACACCTTCAGTCATTTTGAGAGTCTATTTTTGCCGACATTTCAGCTCGAGTTCATTTTTTTTTGAAAATGCATGAGCAGAATTATAAATCAATGTTACGCAAAGCATCCTTCCAACCATATGACTTTTTCCTCTCCATTTCTAATAGCCAGTTCTTTGACGTTACCCAGTTCCAGTGCAAACTCCTTAGTCTCCTCTATACTAGTGATGCCTACGATCTTTGAACCACCAGAGTTATCAACTTTGCTGGTCTACTGCTTGTTCAAGACCCTTAATTCAGGTAACACCAACAAAAATGTGGAGTGACTGCACTTCAATTACCTGCGCCTTTAGGCCAACACTTCACTTTTGAGCACTCTCCCGTGTCATCCCTTCTGCCATGCTGCTGCCAACGCCACTGCCTTGCCTGCGTTATATCCCCCACTGTACCCCGTTTTCTTCCATAGGAACTTTATAAGGCACATCTCTTACAGAGAGGAAAACCAGCCACATTTCCACTACCCAACAGTCAGTCAGAAAAGCTGAAGAGCGAGTTTGCACAGTAGCCCTTGTTTAATAAGGTGCGTTTTCCCCATTAGTCATTTAGTCACTTACATCAAGACTTTTTCTTTCTTTCAGTGCTTGGTCTAAAGCTTTTCAGACAATAGCCCAGAAATGAGTATTAATCACTCTCGTCATTGCCACTTCTCCTTCCTGTTCCAAAACAAGCAGGCACTGTAGCTAACTCTCCGGCAATCACTAACAGATATATTTGAGGTGCTGGTAAAGAGCATCAAACATTTAACATTACAGAGGAAAAGCTGTTATCACTCCCATCGGGGCAGTCATTTGGGCTCCTGACAGGAGCCGTGTCCAAGCGAGCTCCGATGGAGCCCAGGCACAGCCGAAGGACAGGAAGCCTCGGAAGGGCATCCAAGAAGCACGTGCAGTAAATACTGCTGCTCTCATTTCATCCACTTATTGATTCACTGGAAACAAAATGTGTTATCTAAGCAATGTCAAAACTGATGCAAGACGAAAAAAAACCTCAATTTTCTTCCAAGAAATTTGCTTCCTTTGGTAGTAAATGAGACTGTCAGCAATTCTTCACAGCCAGATGTTAAATGCTTGGCTTACATATGTTAAAGGAATATCTTCAGCCCTACGAAGAATCATCTTAAAACACGAATTACCAACGAAACGCAAAAAGCAAAATCCTACTTCAACTACAAGAGCCTGCATTTGATTTTCCGCAAGGTTTTGGCCACGAGGCTGATGCGATTCCTCGCTGCAAGGGCAACTTGGAGCTTTAGAGCAGCTTTCTGTTTTGTTTCACTGGGGGAACAGAAATGCTCTTGCTACCAGATAAATTGTGATGGATTCACTTTTGTGGCTCTAGACATTCAAGGGGGAAAAAACCCTTTCATTCTTCCATGGAGAGAGAATTTCTCTTCCCGTACTGCTCCTTTGGTAGAAAGCTGCAGTTCGCAGTTTAAAAGCAGCAGCTGGAAAGCTGCTGGTTTAGATGAACAGTGAACAAATAGAGACACCTACAGAGATCACCTCCAGGTTGACTTGTCACTACTCTCACTTTGCTTCTTGCTGTTTTGTTTTTGCTCTCTGCGCGTAGGGATGAGGGACATCTGCGACAAAAGGCCAGCGAAAGCCCAAAGAGCTTCTAGCTGAACTCCAACCTGCATGCAAAGAAACAAGATCCCTCGAGAGGGTTAATATGAATTGCATCCTGCTGCACGCTCAAAAGCAAATAACACAAGGGACACTTCTCATGTTGGACTTCGGCAAAAGACGTTTATTATTTTTGTCGAGTTGCGGCTGAACCTCCTCTGCTCTGCCCCCAGCGGTGGCACAAATGCTGTTACCCTCATACTGTAGCTGATGATGCCGGTGTACAAATCAAAAACCATCTTAATCTCAAACTCCATTAGAAACACAGGGAAAAAAAAAAGATCAACATTCACGAAATGTAAAGGGAAAAATGGTATGGAAAGAATTTTTTTTTTATTATTATTTTTCAAGCTTCCAAGACGGTATTACAAACAACAGAGAGCAAAATAAAGCTAGAAATGAAATACTTGACAGCATCTGTTTAAAAATTACAGCTAAGAAACCTAATAAAAGTTGAATAAACAGTTACTAGAAATAAAAATTTTTACACATATGATATTTGTCTGGGATTTTTATTTCTTTAAAATAATTCATACAAATGGTTACAGTCACAAACATGATTTTAACCAAAAATATTGCTAGCCTACCACATTACCAGGAAGGAATCAATGTAGGCAATGAAATGCTGCTACTTTTCAGTAGTCTAGTGCCTTTTTCGCATACCACCAATAATATATACTTTAACTGGTGACAAAAAGCACAATGCTCGTTTATACAAAACCTTTTTTTTTTTTCCTCAAAATCTCTTTGCAAGGTTGTCTTCATTTTGAAATAAGGGAATTCATGCCAAAATCAGGAGAAACTGTTCTTTTCTTTTGTTTACTAAATTATTCTAAAAAATAAGACAAGCAGGTAGAAAAAACAATGCACTGTGTGGCGTAGAAAGAAAAATGGGAAAAATTCATTGTCCTGAGAAGTCTGCCAACTGCCTCATTTTGGGGCATGTTTTAAAATATAAAAGAAAGGATTTTTAATCTCAAAATTGGTTTGCTGAATGCCTCCCTTATGTTTTTCCTTGTTGACAGCTAAGCAAACAAACCCTTTTTAATGTTCTAAAAACTGTACACAGACAAGTACATTCATGATATAATTAACTACTAACTTCTCTTGCTTAACAAAGAACCCATAGGACACAGAAACAGTGAAATCAGTCCACTGGACAGGGACAAACTACAATTTATATGGAGGAAAAAATGTTTCCAAATCTTCTTTTTGTCTCCCACCTTTTCCTTTCATACTGTATATTGGACCAGTTTCTAAAGCAATAGTCGTCTCCTCCCGTAAGTTCATGGTTTTGCCTTTGATCAAAATCCAGGGTTTTGCTTTGTTTTCCACACGCTGAAGTTGACACCTCCGCACTGCTGGGAATGCTGTTTTCTTGGGCTACAATTGGTCGCTCGGGTGGTCTCTATCGGCTTCTGGTTTGACAGTTTGGCCGGGGGAAGGAGCGTGGGGCGGGTGGGCGACAGCGGGGAGGCCGTGGGATAAAGACATGGGGTTGGGGACGATTCCTTCGACGGCGGCCGGCAGGCCGGTGGGCGCCACGCTGACCACGCCGGGGGGATACCTGCTGGGAGAAGGAGGAGAGCGCGCGTTAGGAGCGAGCGGCGGCGCCGGGAGAGTCCCAGGGCCACCCTCTGCGTTTCGGGACCAGATGTGTTAGCATGGCTCAGGAGGAGAGACCAGATACAGCGATGGATGCTGTGTTCTATCCAAATGAAAACTAGAGCTTTGCTCTTCTTTTCTCTCCAGATCTAATAGCATAAATCTGTTCACTAGCATAGCAACCGGAGCAACCTGGAAGTTCTGCTCCTCTCTGGAAACATGATCCTGAGCTACCTCCACAAGAAGTAATTCACGTCAGGGCTGCACAAGTATTTGCCCTCCACCACTTCTCCTCATTTTACCGTTTGGGATTTTTTTTCCTCTTTCTTCCTCTTTCAGGAAATTCTGTCCTTGTTTGAAAAAAATATTTCTTTAGAACAATCTTGCAGTCCCCTGAAAGGATAACTACATCTATATATACTCTTCAGATGACAAATTCAAGCCTATTACAACTGAGTAGCTTTTTCCACTCCAAAATTGCCAGAGTACTAAATGAGGATCAGTGCCCGTTACATGGAGAACCAACCCTTTGGGCAGACTGCTAAAAAAGATACAAATACAAGCAACTGTGCATGGGTTTTAAAGGACTTGTTACTCTTCTGAGATTAATGTCAAAGCCCAAATATTTCAGAAATTTAGGAAAATCACCATGTGATTCAGTATACCCATCCTGTTCTCTTTGTCTGCATTTTCCTTACTCCAATAACCTAGCAAGAGTGTCATCCATTTCACAGGTCTGAAGACACATGACTACTACTCCCTCACTGTGGCATTCGCCACCCTATTATTTACTTAAAATTAAGCAGGAGGAAACACACTTGTAGTCTAGTCAAGCTTCTTCAAGTGTCACAATATTCGGCAGCTGATTTTCTGGTCACCAGAGGGTCCCACACTGAATGCCTCAGGGAATTTCACACCATTTCCATAGCAGCTTTTCTAAAGGAGCGCGTGTCTGCGCTGCTCATCCCAAGTTCCCTCAAGCAGAGAGAAAATCAGAATAGAATTTATCTAGAACAGCACGGAAATTCATAGAAAAGCAGCATGAAAACATGTTTATTTGCTTTTTTGTGTGTCTTTTTTGTTTGTTTTTTGGGGGGGCTTCCATCATAGACGAATGACAGGAATTGCCTTTTACAAATGCCCTGAAGATGAGACACCCCATGTCAACCCAATGATCCTGCAGTGCTACACAGAAACACTGACTGTGATGTGAGATGAATAACTGACATGTGGAAGGTCACTCAATCTGTAGCCAAAATCTTTGTTCTCAAGGTAAGATCTAAGGAACTCTCACATATTTATGGGGTTTCCTACTAATTTCTTCTCCAGAGGAGCGCCTTAAAATTAATTTGCAGTCACTAACGGAATTAGTTGCTTGTTTCAGTACTTCAATTTGAATCTCATTAATCAAATTTGCTTTAATTCCAATGAATATTGTCTAATTGGGTATTGTTATATTTGTTCAAATCTGCTTTTGAAACAGCTTATCTGTTACTCTGGGTTTTTGGTGGAAAAAAAAATACACAAAACAGGAAATGACTAAAATTTCTGTTTTTTTAAAAGAGAGCATTTTGCACATAGCAACTGTTTCTAACAAGGAATCTCCAGTTCCTAACAATATTTTTCAGAGTCTCCCCTCTTGAAAATGGCTGATGTCAGAGCAGGGCACTAACAGCTATAAGCAGAGTAAGCGGTTCAGCCTGAACATCTGTGACTCGGATTTGACTCTGGACACCCTCTTCGTATATAAGGAATGATCTTTTAGTTACAACATAAGGTGGTAACTTTTCCAGCTGGGATTAGCACTTTTCATGAGAAATTTGCTTCCTGAAGATTTCTGGCAACATCCAACAATTGGTTTAGTTGTCCTGTGGAGTTACAATAGCCAAAATAGTGGTAACATCCCCTCTGCAGAAATTGCATTTTCCATGACATCTCTCATCTCCTACCCCTATTTTGCTCTTTTGATATTTTTGTCACCACTAATCACCTGCGTTGTTGAAATCTGATCTCTGCAAGGAGGACACAAATTCCACAGCTTCTATATGGGCATTTCCATTCTACCTAACGTTCCTTTATGTCGCTACTTATTTCTTCACCTGCTCTTAATCATCAAACACATTTCCTCCAGCACTTCATAAAGTTGCTCTCAATCCCCCATCCCTGGCAGCAGTCAAAATATTTGCTAAGTAAAATTAACTTTTTGGCATAGCAAAGCAAGAGACCAGATCATCTCCTCTTCCCCTTCATACTCTTTCTCTCCCATTAAGTATCAGTTTATAAGAAAATCACAGTATCCCTCTTCACCATGATTTAAGGGAACTTTAATTTCCATGTCAGTCTCCCACATTTATTACTATTCATACTGCAGAAGCACCTCAAACTCAACCTATCTCAAAGAGCTTACAATTTAGACAAGTGCAGTATCTTAGATACCAGGAAGAGTCAGAAAATCACTAATCAAATACCTTAATATGAAATAATTTGTGAATGGCTGCCATTATCTGAATATATGGATTCTACTCTCCTCCAAGTACCTCTCAGGTACCCGGATAATCTCATTTTGTACCCGTTAGGAGGCAGAAAGACACGTCAACATTTCTGTAAATTGCATAATTACCATTTAGCAGCTGTCAACTTTCACTATGCCAAAGCACCAGCCTCTAAGCTGACTCTGTGGCATAGGAAATGGCAGCGTGTTTACCTAACAGGCAGCTCAGTACCAAGTACACAGTTAAAAATACATAAGCAGCACATGCAGTGCTGCTTCACCAAGGCTATTACACACAGCTCCTTCTCAGGAATACATTAATCTTTACTCAAGGGATGCATCCTGCTTGCTTGACCTTTTCTGTTGATACGGTGTCTTGCATTTTGCATAGCAAATGGTTTTGTTTTCCACAGAACACAATGATATTCAGACGATCTGGATTATATCTGCTGATGAATGCTCAAGAGTTCTTTGCTTGTGATAACATCTGATAATTTAGGCGTTCTGTCCTTCATCAAAATTCATGTAAATGATATATACAGAATTGTTAGTTTTAGTTCACCAAGAGAGCTATTTGCATTTTTTAACATATAAATTATTATCCCAGGTCTTATCTCCTAACACAATTACATGAAGATGATACAGCTATTAGCACATCTGAAACACTGCACTTCCTGTGAGAGTTCAGAATATAATCTTGTAGCGCAAAAAGAAGACAGATAAATTTGTTTTGAAAAATCACTTCAAATTCTATAGTTAAGACAGAAAGGCATTTAGCACATGCAAGCCCTACTTCTGAAATTGATTCTTTCATGAAATCTCCGCTTCAAGTTCCATACGTTTTATATTGCACAGAAGTAACAACTGCTCTCACCAGTGCTCAAACACTGTTCCACTACCCTTCCAAACAGAAGCTTTGTGTGTTTGTGGTGTAATGCTACATTCTCTTTGGAAATTGCTGAGTTTAATTTTGCATTTGAAAAACGTTGTAAAGTCAAAATCTAGCTCGGAATTAATTTTCTCTACTGAAAAGGTAACTGAAACAATGTCTAAAAAGGCATTCGGTTCCATATTTAAATTGCTAAAATGAAATATATGTCTTTAGCTTGCAAAAAAAAAAAAAAATCTAACTCCACAAATATTCCTAAACTAGCATTTTGAGAGAATGTGACCCTCAAAACAAGAAAAAAATGCATTTTATATTTGGGCACACAACCCTGCTCTCGACTGCCTTGCCACAGTCACAATTTTACTCCCAGTTCAGAAACCCCTGCCCTTCCAAGTCCCAACAGCGTTCAGCTGCACCCTCAGTAACCCAAATTCAAGTCAATAAAGCCACATGCTGCGTGGACAAGAGTATGTGTTTCAACTTCTCATTTAAGTAAACAAAATCCAGCCCTCTAGATACTTAGGGCTATTGATACTTTTGCCATAAGCAAACATCTTGAGCTGATCAAATCAAAGCTGGCCTTTTTCTTTAATGCTCTTAGAGCTACTGGTAAGGAGGCTGTGGCAAAGGGTGGTGACTCTCCCCACTATCAGCTCCCCACTACTTTCTGACAAAAGTGCTGGAACTTTTTATGGCATTAGAGCTTTCCTTCACTTCCCAGCACAGCACAGCTGGGTTCGCAGATGGAAGAAGATGTAGGCAAGAATTCCTACATCCATTAAAAGTATGAGAGAGTCCTCCTGTAGAAGGACAAAGAAAAGAAAGATGTATGAAGACTGAGAATGAAAGCATTAGGAGAAAAAAGACAGAGAATTATGAGAAACATGAAAATTAGGAGAAAAATTAAAGAATTAAGAGAAAAAAGAGAAATAGTGACAGTAATGCACTGTCCCTTCCCTCAAGGCACTCCCTTCAATCGCCAGCTCACAGCTTTCTCAGCCACTTTCATCCTACTTATGGAGAAAATTCCATACTTGAAGATAAAATTACAGATGTTATTTTCATAAATAAAAATGACGTGAAGCTGACTGCTAGGAAAAACGTGCTGCTAGGGCAGCTGCTAGGAATAAAAGGGCAGATTATTGAGTAAATAAAGTAATTAAGGAATACACATACTTGACTGATCAGTGAAAAAACTGACTGCTTTTACAGTTGATGAATACATTAAGTCCCTCAAATGCTTTATAAAGAACATTTTTAACATTGCGTGTAAAACTTAGAAAATACTACTTTAAATATATTTTCATAATTGCCACACGCTATTTCACTGTATTCATTACTGAGTTTTATGTTCTCTCATGTGTCTGAAGGCCACCAAACACATAACAGTGGTTTATTATTACTCTACATCTTTCTGTAGGCAACTATCATTACCTTCAATAAAAAGAACATAAACTTCTACTGCACTTTCTGCAGATGACCAACATACTTTATTGGAATATATATGAAAACATTGTTCAGGTATCATTATTATTAACCACAAAAAAAGATAAAGAAAGGAAACTTACTGACACACTGTGTGACTGATATCAGAAAGCATCAAAGGAAGATTTTTCTCCTGAAGGCAACAACTATAAAAGCTATATACTTGGGGCCTAGTCCAAAAGCAGTTCATTTATTAACAGGAAGGTCTTTTCTTTATGCTGGGCTACTTACCTCTGAACTAAGAGGCTATTGCTTTTGCAGGTGCAGCTTGCTTACCTGTATGCAGCACCGTTAAGCTCTGGATGAACCACCCCGGGATCCATGCTGGCCCAATGCGTAGCTGCAGTCAAATGATCTTTGTTAACACAGTTTTTCAGACTGTCTGGAATACGACCTAGGATGAAGCGAGGGAAAAGGAAGGGGAAATGAAAAAAACATAAGCTCTATGAACTCATTGCACATTAAAATAGTTATAAACATTTGCATACAGAAACAGTACATAAAATCACAGTATCAGCTCATTTTTAGTGCTGTTTCCCTTTCATCTGGGAGTTGGCCACTAATACTTAAAATGCTTTGCATAGTTTTTACTTCTCTGTCACTCTTTAATAATCTTTGATAACCATGATCTGAATAAAAACACAATCACTAAGATTCATGCTCTCCAAGAAGCTAAAGCTCGAATATACAGCTAACCGATTCCTCTGTCTTTAATTTCACTCTTCTCCTTTTTTTTCCCACAAAGTATAATAGTAATAATAACAGTAACAATAAAAGGTGCCTGGAAAATCTGAGATAATACAAGTACGACTGAGATTTTTATCCTGACCTCTTGGATCTTATACTTCTTTATCTCAATTGCTCTTTAAATTTATTTACTGTCACGTCTAAATCCTCAACCATTTCTTTCTTCTCTAAGCAAAAATGAAAATCTCCTTCTTTATTTCTTAACTAACTTTACTAAGTATTATCCAAACCCTACAGCACAATTTTAGTTTTGAGACACACATGCTGGAAAATCCATCAATCCAATTCCAAACATACTGGACAAGCCTCTGTCTGCCATGATACTATGTCCAGTCCTGGCGAAAATGGAGAGCATCCGTGTTTCCTTTAGGGCAACTAGAGTATTTCCACCGAATTCAATGGGGGATCAACTAGATCCTATATCTTTTAGGTCACCTGAACTTACACCCTATGCAGAATTTGAAAGGGTTTCTTGGCTCCAAAATCACACAAGACAAGGTCCACGTCCCAGGATCAGGGAATTCCCACTGCTCTCCTGATTGGAAACTCTCATGTATTTTAGCCTTAAACTATATCCATTTAATATGTTGCCAAAATCGCTCTCTAATTTACATAGTACCTTTCTTTTTCTGGTGTTTATCCTCCTCAGGAATTGTTCGATTGCAATCATGTCTTCCTGCCCCTCTCAGTCTTCACTTTGCTAATCTCTGCAAGGAATGTTCCACTAGTCTTCTCTCATAAAATATTGCTTTATTGTAAACATATTTCATAATGATCTTTTCACTTGCCACGCTCTCCCTCCCTTCTCTTCCCGAACTGTTTTCAGCGGTCATGTTTATTTAATACTTTGAACGTCCTGATATTTAATCTTCTCTTATTTCCATTCTACACAGCAGAACCCCATTGGCAGTCTTTTCCACAGCAAAACATCTTAACATCTTAATCTTCAGAAGGTAGTCATATTACTCAAGCATGCACTCCTTTACTGTACACCTTTTTCCAATTAGTTTCTCCCTCCGCACCCCTTCTCTTTTCTGTTCCCCCTCTGGTGCTCACAGCTCCAGTTTCATCCCACACTTCCTGTATCTTTCCTGCATTTGTTCCCCTGCAATCCGATGTCTTTCTCACCTCCCTAGTGCTGGCCTCAGTTTGATCTTACTAAAAACCACGTGCAAACACTGAAGCGATGACAGCTTTAATACAAATCAATGATTCAGAACTCTGATAGCACCATCGCCCACTCTAAGAAAGCAGGTCTGTCTTTCCATGCACATGTGTGTGGGCTACTGCACAACCCTTCTCCTAAAACCAGCTCCATATAGTTGAGACTTACTCAGTTTCCAGATCTTGGACTATTAAATTGTACTGGCACATCAATCATTCCCCAAGTAGGTACGGTGGGGTGGTGTGGGCAATCTTTCCTAGAGCTATTTGGGAGCGTTTGGCAGTTCTGCAACGGCTTCATGAAGGCACTTTTACAGTTTTGGGGGAGCAAAAACCAGTTTGAGTCACAGGATGCTCAGATTCCTTGGATTACCTCTCAAATGGAGAGAAACAGGCCTGTAAAGGGCAATTCAAATTTCAGAGGTGCCTTTTATCACCATCCAGACTCCGAGTCATCTTCTTTTTGCCCAGGCTATAAATGAAACTAAATTGTCTACTCTCTCTAGGGCAAGGATTTGGGAAAGGTTCCTGCTAGAGCTTTTTGTACAGCACAGCAACGTGTTGGCACCAAACCACCCCCAAGGTGACAGAGATGGCCCTTCATGTCTGTAAAGCATCCAGTCTATATTGCCAAGGGGAAAACTGCAAAGTTCTACTAAAGAGAGAACACTAGTGCTTAATGAGTCATTTTCCAGTATGAAAATTCCTCCTTTTATTTTAGGCTACAAGGGATTCAAATCAAAGCCAAATGGCCCACACTTTGCGTTTTATTTATTAGCATTGCGTGTTCAAGACATAACGGTTTTTTCTTTTGTAAACAGTTCACAATTACATGGCAGTTATACAACAAAGAGACTTCACCCTTTAAAAAGTCAGACTTCTTTAGCAATGCTTTAGAGAAACATCTTCTAAAACAGAGAACCTCCCAACAAAGAACTGAAAACTTTGTTTTGAATTAAGAGTCAGTTGCAGCAATGAAGAGAAGCACCAAGAACTACGTAAACTTTTAAGTTTCATCTCTGAATATTACTGTCTTAAAACCACAACCTTAAAACAGTGAAATCCCAGATAATTTCTTAAATCAGATTTGGACAAGCTTTGGAAAACAGTAGCTGAATTATAAGAAAAAAATATAAAAGAAACAGCACTGCCCATGGCAATTTTGAGGAGGCAAAGCTGTAAGGAAAGTTATAAAAGATACCAGACACCAGCTATTTCTGGCACAAGGTGGCTTTTTTTTTTTTAATTAGTATGTTTCTGTTATATGGAAAATACTGCTTTTTCCATTACCTGACTTCTTTTCATAATTGCAACCAACACTCCAAATTTTGGGCACAGTCCTGTGATGGGAACAGACTTGGCTGTATTTGCTGCCTTTGACTTTGTAAGAGCAGAAGTGGTAAAGAAAATGAGATTTTGGCCATTTTCAACTTCTTCCGACTGTGAAGATAAAACTGTGTGTCAAAGTGACCGGAACAGTAAAGGAAGGAGCAGTGTGTGTGAGTACCTGTGATCGCCCTCCGGATCTCCCGCGCTGCTTCCTCCCGCATCTCAATCGAGGCTTGCTCACTGTACCAGGCTGCATGTGGGGTACAGATCAGGTTTGGGGCATCCTTCAAGGGGCCCTGACTAAAGCTAAATGAAAATTTAAAACAAGATCAAATGACAAAACAATATTTGGGGGAGGGGGATCCACAGGGATTTGTACATACATTCAGGATAATTTCAACAGAAAAGGATTGTACCAATACTCCTTTTGTTGGATCTGGTTTTAATTGTCAGTTAATTTAGTATGCTACTTAAGGTATAATAAAAGTAACATAGGCTCAAAATGTCTTTTATAGACTCCAAAGCACCTAAGAAAAGCAGTACTAGTAGCAACGTGAGCTTCTGTCCAATGCACTTGTTTTGCTAACTACAGCCACTTCCACTCCAATTCTGCTGCAGAGATGCATAAAGCCAGACCCAAATCAATTCAGAATGCCACTTTAGATGGTCCATTACACCACAGTTATATTTCATTAGCAAACAAATCTTTGCTTTCTGAAGGATCACTATCAAAATGACATTTAGTTAAACAGTTATAATTATTTCTCAGTAAGAAGTGTGTCCATGAGCATCACCAAAAATTTTTGATACTCAGTTATGTTTTTCTGTCATTATAGACTAGTTTTTCACTCCTGCTGCAGCACAGAAACTCTATAAAAATAAGAAAATTTACCTGATGGATTGAGTTTCAGAGGACACAGTAAGTCTATTTGCAAGTGCTTTCACACATGCAGAGTAAGGAAACTGAAAACAGTGGAAACTTAGTCCTCCTACCTATTTTCAGTTTTAATAATCTTATAGTCAATTACAACAACAAGGGAACAAATATTTTAAGACAACAGTGTGCTAATAATTCAGAAAATGGTAGATTTTATCTCTAGACCAATAAAGGTCACAACATCTAGCGAACTCTGGAATAAAGAGCTGCAGGCTGCTTTCAGACAGACACACAGCACTGAAGCCAAGGGAAATTGTGGCTGTAATCCTGCAACTGAATCTCTGCAGATGGCATCTTCATGCAGCAAATGGGGCTTCCTAGAGGTACGAATGTCTGCTCGGGGAGATCTGAATTGGGAAGCATGTAAAGAGCTGAAAGCTCCTTGTGCTGGTGGGACTCCAGCTTTGACCAGCCCTATTGTATAATAATGGTTACATTCAAAAGTTTAAAAAGAAGGCAAGATCATTATAAATAATATTAAATATTGGCATTGTGTCTCAATAGATAAAAAAATTTCCACCTTCAAGGATATTACTGCTATTTTTTTAAAGTTCTCTCTTCATCATCCTGTCTCAGCTCATACAAGAGAGACTTCTCTCTCTTTTAGAGAGTCTTTCAACCTACCCAAAGTGCTAAACCTGTTGTTTTTCGAGACTTAGGCGGGTTGTTCCACTCAAATTAAGACCTCTCCCTGCCCAGACTGCCAATCCAGAGGGGGTTTTTCCCAGACAGGCAGCCAATGCTGACAGCTCTACAAAGGCAGGGCTGGGACTCACAGACACACCAGAGGCCTCCTCCCGACTGGAGCGTTTATACTGTAATTCCAATGCCACTGTGGAGCGGAGTGGTCTATTTTTGCCTCAAACTCTGAACTTTCCCTGTGGCATTCGGAAAACTCCAGTGACAGCAGAGTTATGACCCTGTTGACAACGGAAAGGGTCCAGCAAAATCCAACCTGAGCCCTTGTCCTCTTCTGAAAGAGTCTGCTCAGGCGTCAGCATTAGTTGCAGCCAGAGCTTTATCAGCGACAAAGAGCTCTCTTCTCCAAGCCGTGTGACACAAAGCCATGCCCACAATTTGAACTGGTGTCCCTAGTATTTCTGGCCAAATAAGCCCAGCAGATTTTAATTTTTTTTTTCTTTTTTAAGGAATTAAATCTTGGATGTCACTTTTTTTTTCTCACTTCTGACCACATGAACAAGCTCCATCTACATCTGCATTAGTCCAGTGCTGCACAGATTCATGTTGCTTTACTAAGGAGTATTTAGCTACCAAGGGAAGGGAAAACTCATTTACTTGTTGCTGTTGATTGCATCATGCACTACGACTTAAAACTAAGAAAGTGAACAAAATAAAAACAAAATAAAGGAAAAGCACCTGAATGGTTCTGACTCATGTACATCTAAGGCTGCCCCTCGTATCCTTCCTTCCTTCAGGGCCTGTGCAAGTGCTTTTTCGTCTACTAACCCACCTCGAGCTGTGTTGACCAGGAAAGCCCCTTGTCTCATCTAGGGAAAGTTAAAAACAAGAATGATGAAATAAAAATAAATGAAATAAAATCGTTGTGGCATTATCTTTTACTCAAAAGAAGCATCCATTACAACAAAGGCTATTCAGCTGATTTAACCTGTAACAGTTGTCTTCCCTTTCCACTGGAAAGTACCACAAAATGTGATGCTTCTAACACAAAATGCTATTTCACAGCACTTAACAACCTTTTGTTTCTTGTAAATAGTGTCTTTTAATAGAAGCATTGTCTCATTGTTTCGTATATTGTGCAGTAACATGATCAAAAGATACAAATGTGCATTTGAAAGTGACAAATCGTTTTATGCCTTTTTATTTCACTGTGAAATTGCATGAGACAGAAACTACAGCACATTCTCACATTCATATTTTGTGGTCTAAAACTTTCATGCAAATAAAAAGAATCAGGAAAATAAAGCAATGCTTTTGGATTCCCAAACTCTTCTCCCTCCAGTTACCAAAACAGAGTAGATCTATATTTTACTTATGGTTGTTATTTGTGCTTCCCCCTCCCCATAAGACTGTGCAAACAAAGGTTTAAAGAATTCTTATACTATTCAATTAAAAGGCATGAAAATGAGTGTGGTTGTGAATGCTGCGTACCCTGGAGAGAGGCTGTGCTGTGCACTGTGCAGATTAGCACTGCAGGTAACACTGAGTGGGGAGAACTGTGAGAATTTATACCCTAATATACCCACAAGATGAAAGCAAAGTGGACGTCTAAGTAAGAGAGATGGTACAAATAAAGGGGGAAAAAAGAGATTTCTATACACTACTTCCAGCCATTCTAATGCTTCAGCATCTTTTATCAAGTGTCTCAAATACAGGTTTTGGTCTCAGCACATTTCTAAGGACGAAAATAAATACATAAAGAGTAGGAACCATGTTGAAGATGAGTGATCAAGCTTCTATTTTGAATTGACTTTTACCATAGCTTTTACTAGAGTCATCTTTTACCACAAAAATAAGAACTCCCAACACTTTAACATCAAATCAACTATTTACATAGATTCAGCAAATGGGAGTAGGATCCTTATCTGAAGCACTGATTTGGAAAACCAAAGTCAGAACAACATGGAGGTTTGGAGGATGTCAGCTACAGATTTTTTTCTTTTCAATGCAAGAACATTGGAAATACTGAACCATTAAAATGCACATGCTTGCAGTAAGGTTATAAGAAAAAAAAAAAAGTATTATATTGGTCAATTCACTAGCCTAAATCTGTCCCTGTCCCTCTCCATCTCCAAACTTGGTTGTCAGGGAACATCGGTTGGTCTGTGTGGCAAATTAGGTTCCCTTCCAACAGGAGTAGAACTACGGGTCCTTCAGGGGTTCCTGATGGGAATCATGAAGAAGGAAACCATCACTGTACTTGAGCTATGTAAGTTCACAGCATCACACAAAGTTAGCTGTGGGAACCACATGAAAAGTAGCTCCGGAGGGCTCACCCAGGCAGCAAACACTCCTGCTACATGGACATGCCATAAAGGCTGTGGGAGCTTATAGAGAGACTTTCTATTTCTGTGCTTTTGTAAATGGGAGGGTAATTTGATGTTTAAGTATGGCCTACTCTATTTATATATACTTTGAAGACCTCGAAATTTGTAATCAAACCGAACCCCTACTGGAATCTTCTGCCCATCCATAACAACCTTGCTTGAGTTTTCATCTTCAGGACTATCTACAAAACCCTAAAGCTAGTTCTAAGATGAGCCCAAATCAGACAGAACATGGACCCATAAAGGCACTGTAAAGGGAACGAATCATGTGAGTCACGCCAAAGGGTAAGGGCGGATGCAGTTGAAGACGACCTTTCAAAAAGGAGAATCTTGAAAGGGAATGTCACAGTTGTGACACGGCTGACTACTGTCACAGTGCTATGGAACATTAAAGCTATGGAACTGCTTTAGAAGCATACTGCATTTGATTGCAGTGCCGTCTTCTCAAATTTGTGAAAGGGAAGATGACCCCAGCTTCTCTTCAGAGCGCTTGGTGATCATGGGCTCAATAATCACAAGGTTGAAACAACTCTGAGCCATTCTGGGACTACAGGGCCAGACACGATGGCTGGGCACAATGCTGACTAATAAAAAGCAAAAGCTACTCAAAGAGAAGACTGACGTTGAAATTTCAAATAAATTTTAAGGGTATGGAATTTCAGATTTATACAAAACTCAGGATGAGACTTTAGTGAAAGGAGATGCACCACACTTCTCCACACTTTGTTTAAAAACTGGCCATTACACAAACATGCAAAAAGTGGCATGCAACACTCTCTAAAAAGCTGAGCTCAACTATGGCACCTGCCAGCTTACTTTGCTCTTTTTCTACATGTTCAGAAGACCTGGCCTATGAAAATTATCGAAGCAGGAGCCATCATAGGTTTTATGGTTTTCTTTCTTTCCTTCTTTCTTTTTTTCTCAAATTTTGGTAACATTCCCATCAGTTGTTAGAATACATACTGAATTATCTAAATTTTTACCTAAAAAAAGGACTATCATCTAACATTTTAACCTTTCCTTTTAGATAAAGAGTGACAAATAGCAAGAGCAGTGTCTGCAGTACAGATTTAACAGAAATTTTTAACCCTTTGGTTTTGTTTGTTTCCCCAACAAGTCCAGTGAGTACTCTGCAAGGTTCATTCCAGTTATTTTACTGGAAAACTTCCTAGGATCCAGTGGCCAAGTTTCACTGTGCACTCTAATGATGGAGCACTGCTAGATCTCTGAAAGATCCTCCTGAAATCTCTTTGGGTTCATTTGGAATCAGATTATGGTTTTTCCAAACTTCTTATTTTTAAAATTTTCCAATCCCAAACCCTAGTTTTACATTGGGATTGGTCTACAAAACAATCATCTCTCAAATCAAGACATACAATATCATGAGTTTGCCACCACAAACCCACGCAAACATGGATCATGTTTGGAAATTACTTCAGTTCCACTAAAGGTCACAAATAGTAGGTGTGAGCTATTTCACAGAAGTCAACCGGGGATTTTATGCCAAAAGAGGACTCTTGTCATTAAAATGTAAAATTAATTATTTATCCCATCATTACTATTTCTTTCCTGAGCAAATCCACATTCTTACACTTCAAAGTTATATTCTTTACTATTATCTATATTGAGGTTTGAAATTAGAACCTAGTTATTTAAGGCGAAAAATCTTCCTGTTGCATTAGCCAAAATCAGAAGAGTTACCACATATTTTGCCTAGGAAATGACTTAAATATCACCTACAAAAAAATAAGGCAGATGCCAGGACTAATCCAAAGCACTACTATTTTTCCCAAATAACGCAATGCTGCAAACGTGATTAATGAGGGCACCACTCTTGCAGCATTAGGACTGAGCACAGGGGGGCGGCATTTAGTCGCAGTCCTTCATCCGCATGGGAGGAACTCGGAGAGAGGAGCAAGGGTGAAAGACAGAATTGCTGCCTGGGGATAGAGGCAAGAGAAGCAGCTGCCAGAAGTTACAGAAGTAACTTTTAAATTAATGCAACGTAGTTAAATCTTAACAATATGTAGAAGAACATGTTGTTTCCGTTAATGCAATGTTTCTGAGCAACAGAAAGTCATGAAAAATAACAAAACACATAAAACACACACTGTTTCCATATGAGTTAAGCCTGCTCTTAAAATACCAGAGATAAAAAAAACTTGCTTTCAAATGAGAATCAGCTCATCTAGATAAAGAACCTCTGCAAGGTGTCAGCCCCCAGCACTGGCGCGCAGGGCACCCCCAGACATTGTTACCTGCTTGATGGTGAAGTCGTTAATAAGATGATGATTGTGCTCGTTCAAGTTGCAGTGCAGGGTAACACAGTCACTGTGGAAGAGCAGGTCCTGCAAAGTGCTCACCCGCTGCAGCCCGAGGGCCCGCTCCATGCCGTCGGAGAGGTACGGGTCGTAGAAAATGACACTGAAGCCAAAGGCTTTGGCACGTAGCGCTACTGCTTGCCCAACACGCCCTGCCAACAAGAGACACAGTGAAAACCTATGGAAATGGGCTGCCCTACGTGGCCTGTTCCTTTCCACTGCGAGCACTTGCACCCAATGATGCCGTTACGCACAGCACACACAGTGGGATTAAAAGAAGGCAGCTCCCATCCCGCCTGAAATCCCTGCTAAGAGCAGTAACGTTAAATCTGGAGTGTTTCCCATAGCTTCGTCCCAGAGTGAAAGGTCTGCCCCTTCTGCAAATGGGGATGTGCAATGCCAAAAGATGTCAGGTAATCCACAGTAATCCACGTAACAGAGGCGCTGCCGGCTGGGCCGCTCGCGGGAAAAGGCGGCCGCGTTGGAGCACACCCTGCCAAGGACCTACACTGACCCACGGCCGACCAGCTGGCTTCAATAAAGAGCTATAAAATTAACCCTCAAAAATGGATGGATGCAATAAAACATAATTTGTTTAATCTGAAGCGCGACCATTCTCAGCGCATGGGATCTCCTTCCTGAACTAACATTCCCTTCCATTTCATTAAAATGCCTAGGAGAAAGCAGTCGCTTGCGTCTTTCAAAAATGCTTTTAGAAACATACCTACATCATGAATAGAGCCCATCAAATGGCACTTGGTTAAAAAGAGAGGAGTGCAACACCATTTGGTGCTCTCATTGCCCTTGGATCTTCTCTTGGCATTTTTCCTTACAGTCATATTATTTCAGACCTATGTTTGAAACTGCTTTTCAGACATGATTTCATGCCACATGTGTTACAAGGGCCATATTTCATTTTGATACACTACCTACAAAAAAATCTGCTAGAGAAAATTAGCAGCGTATCTAGTGAATAAGAATATCTTGAAGTGAAGACTAAAATATTTTCTAGATCAGAATATTTCATACTAGATGCTCACATTAGATTGTTACAAATTTTAGGTAAAAACATATCAAAAGTATCACTCACTACAGTAATAATGACATCTCAGATTAAAAAAAGAAAAAATCAAAAGAACTCAGGGAAATCCCATATCTTTCCAATTGTGCTTTAAAGGATTTCCCTCTGCTTTTCAGTTTCTCTTTGAATAAACTTCAGAAGCCACAGGACGAAAGGTTTTCTGTTGATGATTTAACCTGAACACAGCAATTCTACAGAGCTTGCTGATGGATGTGCCTGGAATATTAAATAGTCTGTCAACCTGATGGGCCCGTCTGCTTTCCTTTGGGGACGTAAACTTAAAACACTCTTCAAATCCTTTCATTTCAATACTTATATACATGTTATTTGTTTGCTTTTCAAGGTGATCTTTTGCAAACAAATTAGCCAAGTCTCAGCACAATGTATTGTTTTCAAATTTTGGCATGTTCACAGACCAAGGTATCAGTCACACACTGCAAACAAAATTTATTTTTAAAAGCAGCAGATCACATTTACTCTTAACTACCTTTCACATTCACACGCAGCCTTCTGTCATCTGCTCTTTTTACACTCGTTACAATATTAATACCTGAGGGGATTCACAGCAGTTAAATCTCTTACAAGGGGATCTCCATTTAAAGCTATGCTTTCCATTCATTGAAACCAGGCTAATACATTAAAACCACCTTAAATATGCACAGCTCCCTGCTGAAATACTTGGGAATAACCAGCACGTACATTTGGGCAGAACTGTCCCGTTACAATTACTTTATAGGATAAAGCTCTTCTGTAACTGACCGTTCATTTTCAGTCATACTCCTTAGACAAAAACAAAGATGAACATATAAATCTGCCAATTTCTTTTTAAAGTAAAGACACAGAACAATTAATCTATGACAGTTTTCTTTTTCTTTTGCTGAAAAATGCTCTATTTTTATAAGCCTAACTCACAGACATGCCAAGTGGCTGAAAACCTACCTCAGTAGATAAAGAACAACAGACCAGTGTAGACAGATTCACGCCTTCAGGGCAACTCTACCTTTAAAGCATATACAACTGCCATGAATATTCATGGCATCTGGGTGCTGCCAAGAAAAGGCAAATTCTGAAGCTCAAAATGTTAAATGAACCTCTTGGTTTGCAATGGGGGAGGATCACACAAACTGCATGTTTTATATAATTGCAAAAAAAAAGTGGAGTTAATAACAGTGTATTTTAGAAATCAGAGATTTACACAGAGCTGTAGCAAAGCCTGTGCATCATTTCAGTGAAACCAGAGGCACGAGAAGACTCGCATCTAAAACGTCTGTTCTCCTCTTACAGAGTGATTCATCCACTAACCCAAAAGTCTCCTAGTTTGTAGGTGTCTTGTAGGCGTTTGTAGGTGTGAGGAAGAACTTTCTTCACTGTGAGGGTGACAGAGCCCTGGCACAGGTTGCCCAGGGAGGCTGTGGAGTCTCCTTCTCTGGAGATCCTCAAACCGCTTGGACGCCGCCCCGTGCTCTGGGTGTCCCTGCTGGAGCAGGGGGTTGGACTAGATGATCTCTAGATGTCCCTTCCAACCTCAACCACTCTGTGATTCTGATTCTGTGATTCTGTCTCTGTTCTCGACCTTGTCAACATCCTGATTTGTGAGCAACAGTAGCAAGAGTAGTCAGTAATTCCCATCCAGGCCTTGGGTAAGGAGTATTCACCTGTGCTGGTATTACAAAGTTTTATAAAATGCCCTCAATACCATATAGACATTGACCTGTCTGCAGACTTCCATGGAAAGTAAATAGGTCTCTAATCTACCAGCTGTTACTGTCTGTGCAACAGGAATGGGGAATTTGGGTAATAAGAGGGAAACCATGAAGCAGGTGAGGTCAAACTGAGTGATGACAATAGCTGCGAAAGGACACAAAAGTATCTGGAGGTCATTTCACCTCTGTGAATGACGAAACACTAACTCCCAGTTGCAAATGTTTGCAATGGGGAGGAAAGGGAAGAGGTTGTGATTTGCCAGTCTTTGCTGCTGCAAAACAATCGTTATCACAGGATCATGTCCAGCTATCTATTTATCTAAGTACTCACCTACTGCTGAGCATGAAATATTCTCATTAAAAAAGAGGTGAGGAGGTATTGTGATGCATCATTTGAAATAGGAGACCCTGGCCTGCAATAAAGACTCAAAGTGACAAGGACAGCTTTTTAAAATGACGTGATATTATTATTTATGGAAGGCTCAAACTATCACACACTTCATTAAAGACAGAAAGGAACTTAGGGCAAGTTCCTTGCCCTAAGGAACTCAGAGGCTAACCATAAAAGAAAGCATTATACCCTAGAGTCTTTTTGCTTTTCTTCTTTCTCTTCCTTTTTTTGTGCTTATCTTCACCCTCAATACAAGCAGAGGATGAGAGAAAGGGTTAAATTTAAAGCAGGAGTATAGAGTAATAGGATTAAACAGAATACACCAAGTGTCAGAAGCAGGAACGTGCATGAAAGAAGGCAAAGAAATGAGAGTGGGTGAGGGACAGAAAAAAGGCAAGTGAGTCATGAAACTTGGCTAGACCAGTGGATAAGGAAATGAGTAGCTGGAGCTTTGGATAGAATGACTATGTCATTCCCTAGCAGAGAGATAGGCAAGACCTAGGGTTTTTCTCACTGGCAAAACAAGAAAGGAGCCCAGAAACGGATGTGAAGAAGGTCTGGACTTAGCTGCTGCCAAAGGAAAGTGATATAATTTAAGCAACCCATTGCTGAAGAGACTGAAGTTTAAGACAAGAACAAAAAGTCATAGCTGGGAGATAAGAGATAAGCACGTTAAGGGGAAAGGAGAGAACCAGAAATACTACATAGAAGCTGAGAGAAAAATGAAGAAGCAAAAAGCAAGATTAACAAAGCCGAGAACTGTTAGATTTGTATGTGCTCCATCCACTTCATAGTATCTGAGTGATTCAGCAGTTCTGCTGATGACACATCTTAATAATGAAATAATAAAATGAGGCAAAACTGCACATGTGGGACAAGGGCACTAGGAGGGAAACGTAACACAAGGGGAAGACCGTTGAATACAATTGCAAATATACACTTTGGTCTAACACAGTCATCTGCAATGGAGAGTGCACCTCAATCTAACTGCCTGAGGTGCTCAGCTGCACTAAGGTAGCACAGCCCTGTTTTTACACCTTAGAAGATTATGCCTTTTATTCTCTGTTGTTGTGTAGGTAGTCTGCTACATAGGGGTCTGCTATAATAACAAGCCAGAATCACAGTGTTGTGCCTGTTCACACACATACACAAAACTAAGTGTGGCTGTTTTCAAAACTGACTTGATAAAACATCATCCTTGAAAGTGTGAAGATTCCATCTGCATCAAGAGCAACAGAAATGATAATAGAGACAATTATCAGCTAATAAGTGTAACAGATGTGTGCCTTTAAAAATGTGTTTTATTAGCCTTTTAGCATATAATGCACACAAAAGGCTTGTTTTTTAAAAAAACAACTAGCACTTCACGTGACACAGCACACACTGGAACTCGGATTATCCTCTTGTTTCTCTATACGTTTCGATCACTCAACAAACACAGCAGGTAGAAAATTTATTTAGAAAACCTCAATAATAAATGTAGATTCATGCTCATCTCAACTCAGAAATTAACGGCAATGCAATAAACACAAAGGCAACAGCACTGATATCTGTGGCAAGTAAGCCTATAGTATCTAAATCGGGGCCTGGGTTTCAAAAACTAGATATGCATTTCAATTTTTGAAACACTGCGAGCAAGATAGACTATTACTTATGTATGGCTGCTGTGACTGTGAGTGCAGTAATCAGAGCAGGCTTAAATGAGGTGCATAATTACACGGGTATAGATTTGAGAAATCAACTTCATGACTAACTTCCCGAAAGTCACATTTTGAAGGCAGTTCTCTGACTGTGAAGATGTTTTTGCTAGCTCACATACTCATTCAACCAGTGCTATGTTATGCCAGGCTGTTTTCAGCTTCGAAAAGCAAGAGTTAGTGGCTTGAGTTAATCTGACAGCAACGTATAACTGCAACAGTCATTTAAGCACTACGGATTTTCTGAGGTCTGACGTGCTGTTGTCAAAATCTTATTATTAATTCCTGTGGCTGAATACCACAGCAACTACAGGCACAGTCTATCAGATCGCTGATAAGACAGGCACATGACTGAGTAATTTTCAAACAGAAACTGACTTGCTTGTTTTTCTTCTCTACTTCTGTAACAGACAGTAATGAATTCATCCCAGGCAAACCTGTCCATCTGTTCGATGCTGAAACACATTTAGGGACATTCGGGGAGGTAGGTAGGTGATTTTATTAGGTCTGGAAGCATTTCAGACTTTCTTGCATATATTTTTCCTCTCATTTGAGTTGAAATATAAATTTAACTGCAGCCTAACCAAACGCAACAAATCACTGCTCTGCAGGCTGCTACCACTGCAAAGACTTTTCAAGGATGTTAAAAAGTAAAAAGAACAACATGAAAACAGACCCTGATATGACACTGACCAAGAAATACCCTATTAACACAATGTAATAATGACATCAAATGCACATGGTGTTGGGTTGGGATCCGTAGCAGGATTCTTGTTCTGGAAAGGGGAAACGACGATGCCCCTTGGTGTGCTTGGCACAAGGCAGTGATAGCAGAAAAATGTACAGGAATTCAAAGACTCAGGAAATAGCAACAAAATTCAGATGTCTGAGGGAAGCAAGAGGTATAAAAGAAAAAGAGTTGAGAAATGTAAACGCCAGGAATGAAATGGTGTTACCTAGGATGACTGGCATGGGAACGAGTGAAATGAAGGTTCCATTTTTCTACATTAAAGCTTCCTAATTCTTATAAAGCAACACGGGGCGAGGAGCACCGAAAACGTCTCCGAGTCAACCTACCTAATCCAATAATGCCCAAGGTTTCCCCTCGGATCCTGGCGGCTCCAGACGCCACTTCCCGGATCTGCTCCACGCTCTGTACCCTCGTGCCTTCCCGCAAGGCCTGGTGAAGCCAGGTGGTTCTCCTGTACAGGTTCAGGATGTGGCACATCGTAGAATCCGCCGTTTCTTCTACTGAGGCGGCTGGCACGTTACACACTGCAATCCCTGGAAAGGACGGTGAGGACAGGGTATCAGTTTGCAAAATATTCCTTACCTTTTCCCGCTCAGCAGCAGTCCAGGATTAAAGGAATCTGGTATTTTAACTTACAGGCATTTCAACATTTGCTTTGCACAAGTAAGTTCCTCACAGATACAATGCTGGGTAACACAGGCGATAGGAATTTGCACATTTTCTTTTAAATTTCTTACTATTTACCAGGTTTCAAAACTAAGGCAACCAATAAACACACAACTGAAACCTCCAAAGGAATGTATTTAAGATATCAGGCAGTTTAGCAGCTAAGTTACTGATGGTTTAGTAAAAATTTTACATGCACACAGGACTGGGTGCTTTGAATACACAGACAATGAGGCAAAAGACTATAGTTTAAATTTAATTTCATGAGTTAGCTTTATGCTACTGAACAGACACCCTTTCTTTCCTGAAAGCTAACTATACAAGTTACTAAAAAACTAAAACAGCAGCTCCTGTAAGAATACTTGTCCATGAAAGCTTATTTCCAACGTGTATATATTTATGAGCGATCATGACATCGGTAGGAACATTTTGTTTCCTGCTGCACAGGAGAAGTGCTACAAATAGTACTGAAGTCCTCTCCCGGTCCCTCACAGAATTACTGAAGAGATAACCCACTGCAACATCAGTAGAAAATATAAAGTGTGCTCCTGCATGGCACGTAAAGATAATGCAAGTCCATGCTGCTAACAGCCAAAAAGGTAATACTTGAAAATGGGATACTGTCAAGAAGTTAAAAGACAGATTTGCACAATGGTAGAAACTGGGTAGATTCAATATCTGCTACATTCTCTTTTTTACCTCAGAAAAAGAGGTGAGGCAACAAGCAACTGCAACTGCAGATAAGTTTTCCCTTTCTGCCTTTTAGACAGCCATTTATCTTGCAGCACTCGATGTACAGCAGTTAAGCAAAATGCTGTTTATTTGAAAAGTTTGTGTCCTGTTTGATCTCTTTGCATGCTATTTATGTTCTCTCCCATCATCAGCTCTCACTGGTGTTTGTGTCTCTGCTGCACTGACTGAGATCACAGACAGCTCACACAATAATTTCATGGCAGAGAAAAACGTATTTTGTAGGAAAAAAAAAAACTAGTACTGTTTTTACTGTCTAGATTTTGGATTTCTACATAAATATTCATAGAGCCCACAGTTAACACCAGGATATCTTACGAAACATGGAAAAATTCTCTTCCTTTATAGTAATGAAAGTAATCTGAGAAATCTGGCACCATATTTATAATAAGCTGGTACCATATTTATCTGGTATTGCACATATTCAGCAATGTGGCACCATATTTATCTGGAACCATATTTATCTATGCTTTACATTCTAATGTCTTTTTTTTCTGCTGCCTGGAACTTTTCAGCCTTCTTACATGAGTAAAAATTAACCTAAGTAGGTTGCAAAACTATTTTTTCATCTCTTTTCAGTAGAGATATGTGGCCGGCTGAATCACTCTTAGACTCACATAGATAAAATAGCTCCATTTGCTGGAATTTTAATCTTGGCATCCTGCTAACATCAATGGAGTACAAAACTCACCATATTTTAAATGGAGAGAGAGACAGAGTGGGGAAAATGTGCTCTTTTTTGACTACACATAAACTTCTCTTCATGTGGATCATATTAAACAGCCCTATTTATACAAAAAAAAAAGGTCCTTCTCAGGGAGCAAAAATGTAGATTTTACATGGCAAGTCAAATTTAATACGCATGTCTTCTAGCGGCTAGCATCAGTGAATCCAATGATTTAAAAAGCTGAAGGAATTGCATTATGTTTTTGGGGAAGATAAACAAAGAATTGAACTCACCTTATGCCTTCTTCCCTAACAGGTTTTCCGAGAAAAACTGTAAATAACAGAATTTTCTTCCCCCCTCCCCATTTTCCTCCACTTTGAAAACAGTTAATGGCACAAAGGCAGAGGCAGAATGAACCACAAAAAGCACCAAGAGAAAGGCAAGGGTATGAGGAAAAGATAACACATTCTTCCCTCTTATCTCATATTCCTTGCTCCTGCTTCTCTCCTTTTCTCCAGCTGCTTTCATTGACCTGGTGCAAAGGTTCCAGGCTGAAAAACAGGAGTCTATTGGCTTTACCTTTAACTCCCAGTCCACTTGCATCCAGTTACACCTCGTATTTTCTAGCCAACTATTAATAAAGTGAAGAAAAAGTAGACCAGATCTTTATCTAAAAACATCTATCCTAATACTTTTCAATAAAAGTAAAAAGAGTAACATGAAAATAATACCAAAATTGAAAAAGTGGTAAAAGCCCCAATAGGGATCTCTCTGAAAATTACCCGAAAAATTTAGAATACGTTCCAGGAGCAGGTCATACTTCAAGGCCCAAGGCCCACAGTATATTCCACAACTCAGCTAAAGTCTTTTACAAATTAACCCTCACATCGTGCTCTTGAGAGAGAGGTTATTTATATTACTTCAACAAATGGAAAAAATGAGGGACCAAGTGATTTTACAAGCACTAGTGAGGCAGTACTGAAAAAGGTGGTTATTTCACTATCATGTACTGAGGAGAACCATATTACAGCTCCTCACTGTATCAATGGGACTATGAACAGGCCTAAGCACTGGCACACTGGACTAAGCACTTCCAAGGTCTTCCCAAAACATAATGGAGAATACGTTTAATAGCTTATCCCTACTTATTCAGAAAAATACAGAGAAAACTTACTGAGTGGTACAATTTTACCTGTAAGTTAAAGGAGACATTATGCTTAAACAAATGAAGTACAAATCAGATGGTTGCTTTTTCACAGTGAAACGCTAAGTACCAAATCTTCACACTTCTGCCTTCTGAATTTATTTTGAAGCAAAACCAATAAATCTCCTATAAAAATCGGTATTTCTGTTTTACAAAGTGCTTTAGTACTAAATCTCATACATCATAAATAAGTCTCAAGCATTTGATAATGATCTCATTTTTTATTCAAACAGACGTATTTTGCCATGTTAATGGAATTGTATTTTGTGACTGGATTACAGTAGGCAGTAGTTAAAACCCACAACTGGGGTAAAAAAGGAGAGGAAATACTATGACCTTGCCCTCTAGATTTATCCTGAGCAGACAGATTGTCATTCTGTCACAAAGCCATTAATATTATCACTTAATTAAGAAATGATAATATCACCATAATGATTTTTAAACACTGTGATGAGAAGTGTTAGAGTAAATTATACACACAGTCTTAATGCAGTTGCTATCAAATTTCTGGAGGCAAGTATAAGATATAGAATAATGTCTTTAATAGTCATACCTAAATCTCCAGCAGATTTGATGTCAATATTATCAAAACCGCTGCCAATTCGGACAATTATTCGAAGTGCTTTAAATTTCTCCAGGTCTTCTCGTGTTAAAGTGATAGTGTGATACATCAGTGCACCCACTGCTTCATTTAGTACCTATAAGTAAAATGGAAGAAAAAAATATTTTTTTCTTTCACAGCATCTCAGCCTAATCACGTATACAAATTTTCAGATTCAAAAGGCTATATAAGCACTATATCAATCTTATTTAAAAGGTTATTTCTCCAAGTATCATGCAGCCTCTTCTTAGATTTTTATTATTATTCTGATATATCTGTTCTAGCATGATGATTCCAGCTTTTGAAAGAGCTGAGACCTGCATTCATACTCTTGCTTAAAGGAAAAGCTCTTGTCCTTTCACAGGAGATGCCTGTAGCACCAGGCCCTCAGTGCAAGCATCGATGGACTTGGTCTGCACCTGAATGCTCCACACTCCACACAGGTGCAGTCACTCACTTCAAACAGCATTTTTAAGCCCAGGTAGCTGAAATGCAGTGTTGAATGGTGCAACAGAGCAGTATCTCCTGATAATACAGGAAGTGGTAGAGAAATTGCACTGCCCAACTGTTTGATATCTGTACACGCAGTAATCATCACAAAACTCTTAGACAAGACAGACTAAAATCTGCAAATTCAAATATAAACACAGAATGTCTGCGCCCTGGATTATTTATAATGCAACTATCCACAGCTCGCACTGATGAAAAATTTGGATATCATAGAAATTGGTGCAATTGAGTTGCAAAACCAGACATTACTTAGCAAATCAGCACCTCTAAGAAAATCTAAGGCAAAAATACCACAAAAAGGAAAAAGTTGCAAAAGAGAGTAAAAAAGGAGAAACAAACTAAGAGGAATAGAGAAGTGTGTGATATCCTTAAAATTAATTTAGAGGACACCCAACATATCCAAGAAAGCTAAGATGAAGAGCATGGGAAGAGGAAGACATTGTCATGAAGAGCAACCAGTTACTGAAAAGCTGCCGAAAACAGAAAGCCTTTTACTCTCCCTCTGTTTGCAAAATGAAACGTGTTGTTTCTTCAAAACACTTATATTCCTGCCCTCTGTGCTCGATACATCTTAATCATCCTATAAGAACCAACACATGTACAAATCACATCTGTATCTGAGCCAGCTGTAACGACTTTAAGAGGCTTCTATAACACACAATGCATAAAGGTCTTGTGCAAGCTCTGTATTCAATACCTTTATGGTCCAGTACATGTATAGATTCTGTCATCAGAAGTGTTTCTGCTCATGTGAGCATTTTGTATGGTGCTATAGAATCATTTTTTTAAATCAAAACAATTAAAGAACTACTGCAGGAAAATACAATCTTGCACACGAGTTTACAGCTTCCTGTTGGAAACCAAGATCTGCGGCAATAAATAAATAGATAAATAAGTATTTTTGAAGAAAATATAAGTAAAACCCATGGTAATGTAGGAAACTGCTCTTTACTATTTTATACATTAATCTATGACGTTGCAAAAGACGTTACTGCAACAGGCATTCCTGGATTAGCAATCCCAATTCTAAATCAGATAAAAAGATGGATCCTTTGAGCACCATTTGGGATTACACGTAAGAGGAAGAACAACTGGAAAAGCAGAAATGATGCAGCCTTACAGCACGTGGCTACCATGCAACTCAACAACGTCAAGCTGTCCCTCCTACAAACGGTCGTACTCACACACTCCTACAGTACAAAATAGTCCTTTGGAGATGACACCTGGCTGTCGTCAACCCAAAGCCCTGCACTGAGCAGAAGGCCTCCCCTTCAGCTCTTGCAGAGGCCTATCTGGCCTATTAATTCCTAAAAGAAAACTCTTCTGAAATGTCATGGCTCAAACGACACGGACATTTCTTCCAACTTCCATTCGCACTTTATTTGCAGCCCAACTTGCAGCAGTTTGCGTTGCTGCCACTGTTGGCCATTTGTGTAAGCTGCACTTTGCTTTCCTTGGTGTCTGCAATCCGATATATTTATAAGGCAGTGATCGTGATCCCATCTCCTCTCAGCATTTGTCTGGCCAGACTTAACAAGCCCCGTCCTTGTAGGATGGCACCTTTTGATGCCACTAATGCTGCTTCCCTGCACTGCTGCGCATCTGAGCTTAACTCCCCTAAGCCTGGGTGAGCAGAACTAGCAAAGATCTTCCAGCTGAGGTTTATCCAAGGGCCACACTGCTCTTCCCCTCCTCTCCTAGGCAGAAAAGGTCCGGGAATTGCACGTGTGTCCATGAAGATAGAGAGCTGCTCCTCCAAGCACCCCGGCTGCCCTCGCAGAGCTGTTATCAAGACAACAGCCAAAGCAGCTCGGACATCTATGCTCTGAAATGGCAGCGTTCGGTTTGGGAAGCAGCTTTGCGCTTCATCATCTCACATATTTTATTAACTCAGCCAGTCAAGACCACAACTTGGACTCTTAAGAGCACTAGTTTGGGCTCATGACACTGCATTTTTGAGGGCCATTTAGGTTATGACTTGCCCCAAAGAAGAAAACAAAAAGAATGCAGAAGCTCAGGAAGGTGCTCAGGAAAAGGAGGAATATTCTTCAGGTTAGTGCTGGCAACAGTCATTTCCACATACAGTCCTTTACTCATCATACGGAACACATAACTAATAAATATAACGACAAATGTTCCAGAAGTTTTCATGTTTAAGCCTCTTATGGGATTACGGACAATCTGACAAGGAAATGCATGGCCAAAATGCAATTTCTGTGTATTACGTCACATTCATTTGATTATCTCATTAACATAATTCATTGAATTAGTTGAATTTTGCAATTTGTAACTTGCTAGGTACTGAAATATGTCAAAAAGGGAAAAAAAGACAAAAAATCTGAAGTTAGAAACAACCAACACTAAAACAGAAATATTATCATCCACCAAAAGATTTTAAAATAACGGAGTTTTTATACTTTGTAATGCTATGAAGAAAATGAATTTGTGTTCTCTGCCATGAAATGCAGACAAGGAACACTGAAAAGGTTTGTCAAGAAATAAAAACAAAACATATCTAAACTACATCTGAGTAAAAACCACAGAACTGGAATCCAGTATGTGTAAACAGTTAATGTCTGACTAAGTTAATGTTTAGAAGAAATAACCAGGCATAGGACTAATATGCTGAGGGCTTATGAAAATGGTGTTTGCCTGGCAGAGCCTGGGATTGAAAAGCATAGGGATCAACTTGATAATATGCCATTAACATCACAGAAAGCACCAAGTTCTAGTTCAACAGCAGTGGAGTCCAAGTCAAGTTGGGAGAATTTTATTACAAAACTGTTGGATACACATTCGACAAGCAAGTCCAAGGATGTGGCAAACAGCTGTCTCCCATGATGGTTTAAAAGAAAACTTGGGCAAAACCTGAATGAGAAGCAGCAGAATCAGTTGGCTGCCTCCCTCCTGCAACCACTCCAGCTTTCGTCAGGCTGCGCTTGTGTTTTCAGAGAGAAAAGCTCTGTGAAAAAGTCGAACTAGAAAACATGAGTTGGCTTCTTTCTCTTGTTGCTATTCTGCGTAATTTTCATGCCTTCAGTTATCGACTTGCTTCCAGGTGAAGCTACAGGCAACTGCTTGGTGCAAGCCCTGCTCCCATCCTCGGCAGTGACCTGATGTTGCTCTCGGTCAGACTGTTCAGACGGGTCTTTCCGCTCTTCCTCAAACCGCAGATGACTACTCTGCTTTCCCAACGTGCCAGCTCCCACGGCTCTTGGAGAACAGATGACACCAGCAGGAGAAGGTTCTATTTCAAAGAACTGAAAGCTTGAATAGGGAATCCTGAAGATCGAAATAACTTTTAAAAAAATAATTTTACTCCCAATTTTTTTAATCTTTGGTCAACACCAGACTATTCCAGCCATCACACCAATCACTGCTCTAACACACCTCAAGATTTCCTGCCTCAAGTTATTTGAGGAATAAAGACCTAGTTAGCAACTTCCACCCCTTTTTATATTATTATTATTATTTTGTATAACAAAGTGTAAACATATCCTAACATGCTAAGCACTGAATATTCAAGTCATTTTCCTGCTTTGGTCATCTAAGGCATCCTGCTTTATTTTACTAAGGGTGACTAATGCCAGGAGCTTGTGGATCAAATCAAGAATACAGAAACATAACTTAGTATTTAAAATTCCATGATACTTAAATGCTACTAAGTCGCACAGAGCACCTATAAAATATATAATGACAATTGTTGTTACATTTTTAAGATTTCTATAAAGTCAGCACCAGAATATGACACTTGACACATTAACTGCTTCTAGAAACTACTATGATGTTCTGTTTTTTTAAGACATAGTGTTTGCTGTGTTATCTCCAAATAAAGTATCTGGGGTGTCACCAGCAGACTTGAGGCATTTTGCACAAATACAGAACATATATTGTGCTTACACTGGGTTGGCTTTATATTACTTCATATCCAAAACCCAGGTGCCTGTCAAATTTCTAACAGTCTGAACACAGGAGAAGGCAGGAGCAGACTCGAAGCTGCTCTGCCAACCTCCCCAGAACAGTATAAAGGATCCATGAAAAAGGGACAACGGTAGAAATGAAAACCCTACCTGCTCAAGTGATATTTAATACATCTTCAAAACTCCGCTAGTTTGTGCTGTTCTTTAGTAATTCCAGATCCTCTTTAAGACACAATCAGCTTAACGTATAGATTAGCGTGGCCTGTGTCAGTGCCAATAAGCTACCCACCTCACGGAGCACTCGTCATTCAGCGAGGGTACTGGCTCTGGCTGGTGTCTGACTTTTGCTTATTTTAGTAGTATTAAATATAAATACATAGGGGCTGTTATAAGTTTAACTTCAGTGTCCTGAAAATTGTCTCAAAAAAGGTATATACACTGTATGGTAAGTTTTTTTCAAATATATGTATACACACACATCCATACACAGTATATACAATATATACTATAGTGTGTATTCTTACATAGGCATGTATGCTTTGATATAAACATACCCACAGAAATATAAAAACCTACTACAAATATATGTTTACTGGCAGGTTGTGTGCATGTCTATACACAGACAAAACCGTATAGACACAAACTCCAATGCAAACCCATCAGAAACTGCAGCTTCTTTGCCATAAGACCATTGTGTTGCAAGAAGTCACCAGCAGCAACACTATCAACAAATGTAAGACTGTCTCAAAATAAATAAGTGAATAAAATAAAATGATAGTGGTGACACGGGAAACAAACTCTGCTGAGCTGTTACTAACTGAGCTGAGTCGTGTGTTTATATTGGGTTGTACAATTAAGGGTAATGGAAGTTTTTAGGGCTCCTTTTATGAAATCAGAGGGATTTAGGAAATTCAAGAGGGTTGGAATGGGGTTCAGGGTGACAACTGTGTCCTTTCAATCTATGGTCCATCAGAATTAAATTCTCATGAAAAACTAAAAAGCTGAAACTCTATTATGAAAAGAAAGAGCAATGGTGATATCAAAACAAGATTACAGTCTTACTGCTAAATAAAGAGAAGAATCTGAAGCTGAAAAAGTCTAACTTAACCACTAATCTAATAAAAACAAATCAAAGATTCGCCTGAACAGCAGCACTGTTCTTGATCTCTGTGTATCCATTTCAAAGCATTTACTGCATCAGGAAAGCTCTTCAGCTCACATTTGAAACAGTCTTAGATAAAATTTTAATCAGTGGAAAAATTCCCACATTTAATTCCTACATAAAAATTTAACTGCAAATTTCCAAGTCTTACACCACTGAACTGAAAGTTCATTTTTAATATTTTTTTAATGCAAACCAACTTTAATTTAAAAAAGAACGTGGGAAAAGTAACAGCTGCCGCAAGGCCATTTAATTGTGATGTGGGCAACCTGTCAAAAACAAACGCACCAAGAAGGCAGCACAGGCCAAAGACAGGAGGATGAGAAACACATGCAGCTCTCAAATTCTTCTTTCTAGAATATGTTTTAAGACCATTACCAATCAACTGTGCTTCCTGTTGTCTTCTTTTAAGGTTGCAGGACTCGCTTCATTTGCTGTTGGGTTTAGGCTGCTTCTTTTTGCAGAAGCTGCACACAGAGCCACAAAACGTGCTCCGTGATATGGAGGGGGCAGCACAAGTCCAGGAGGCCAAAGAGTGAAGAATCTGAGCTGCAAAACCCTTGGGCAACACAAGGACCCCAGGGAGAGCTCGAGCCCGTGGCTCCTGGAAGCAAAAGGAGAGAGGAAAGGCTGCCCGAGTTGGCAGCGCTGGAGGAGCAGCGTTAAACCAGATTAAACCAGGCACTGAAAGGAAGCGGGAACCAGGAAAGCGATGGGGAGCGACAGTAGGGCAGGGCAGGGGAAAGAGAAGCAGTCTCGGAACGAGCAAAGAAGCTGGTGATTCTTAAATCACTTCTTAAATCACTTTAATTTCCTCAACTGTAATTAAAAAAAAAGCGCATTTGGTGCAAGGAAATCGCTGCAAAACTGGACCTTGAGTATTACCCTACTCCAAAAAACAAACAAACAAAACCCCAAAACAAAGAAAACCATCAAACCCACCTTTCCTAATCCAGTACACAACAAGGTGTAACAGCTTTCACTAAGGCCCTGTTCTGGACCCCCACAAATGGTGCTCATACCCTGACTGCTCTTCCCCACTTCTGTAGGTGTTCAGGTTCCTCTCAGCCTCCTCGATGCACTTTGCTGCTCTCACACACCACTAGCAGTTCCCCCTTTTCACTCCTTAGTTACTTTGCTGTCTACCCACATGGAATTTAAATGATCATCCTGCTCTGCAGCCCTCTCCCGACCCAGCCACACTCCCTTCTCTGGAACCCAAAATGTTCACTCCTCAAATGCTGCAGCCTCGAGCCCCATGGCCAGGGCTCCCCAGCTGGGCCAGCCCCGTCTGTAGCTGCTCTTAGTTCTTCTGCTCTTCATATTGCAGTTTTCTCATCCACTATATGTCACTTCCCCCCTTCTTTCACTGCATTCGTTCACAGCCACCCAGCTGCATGGATCAGAGGTTTATATTTACAGCTGGTTTAATAAAGCACCACTTCCAAATATTACATGAGGTGTATTAAAATACAGGTATTTCTCTATTGTAACTCTCCCGACGTGCTGCAAGGGAACGGTGGAAGTGAAAAGCAAACCTCTCTCATATGACACTGAGAACGTCTCCAAAACTTGTAAATCTGTTTCTGTTACAGTGATGTGATATGGTAATGCAATGAGATCAGCAGCTAAAGCTTGGGATTTTTGTCACAGAAACATATTATGGGGCAGGACATAGGAACTTTGCAAACCCAAAATTTTAGGGCAGCAAGACCCCGTGGATTATGAAAATTTGAATTATGACCATGTACTGGTTGCTAGTGAAAAGAGAACTTTCTGGAGGATTCAGCAAGTCCACCAAAAATGGGTTATCATGATGTAATAGATTATTTTCTTATAGAAAAAGTTCTCAATTTTCCTAGTTGCGATATAAACTATTACCCAAGTACCTGAACAAAACAGACATTAATCCAATACTACTGCTGCAGAAACCACCTTCCAAGACCATTCTTGACTACTGGTCTGACAACAGGAAATTTCCATTTGATGGGGAGGATGGTGGCAAAGAGGATGGGACAGAGCAGGAAGTCTGGACATGAGAATCAGCAGCTCTAGCTGGCAGTGCTGAGTCACAGACAAAAGCGTTGGTAGCTTTAAACAAGCAGCAAAAAAAAAAAAAAAGGAGCAAAAAAAAAAAAACAAAAGGAGCAAAAAAGTCATGTGTTTCAGAAATTTTAACAATGAGAAAAAAAGCTTTTTTTCCCAGCATAAAAATAACAAAAATACTCTTAAGAAGCTGAACAGTTGGTTCTGACCAAAGGGATGCTCACATGAAAGAGGCTGCAGAAAATGAGATTTATTCAGTTAACAATAGAAAGGAAATTGGTCCTGGTTTTATTTTCAAGTAGCTAGCTTTACAAGAAAGTCATCAAAGAAATGATTAAGCCTTTTACTATACACATTACTGGGCTTTAAAGCATTTAGCAATGATACATAAGAATACAAGAAAGAAACAGTTAAAGCAGCTATGAATTCAAAACAGTGAGAAATTTCTGAGAACTTGGCACAAACTGTTTGTTTGGCCAAGTGTTACTGGCTACAGTAACAAGGGAAGGGCTTGTTTCAAAGAGGCAAGAACATCAGCATGAGGCTGCTAGCCAGCAGTGCTGCCATTTAAGCTATGGAAACATGGAGGTGAATATGGAGGATTTTTGCTGCCTAGAGAAAAATAAGGATTTGGGATACAACGCCTCCAGCTGGAAGCAGTCTCTGAAAAGAAAATGTGGGTATATTGGTCAGCTGGCTGCCTTTGAGATGACCATGAAAATGGGTATCCTGATGCCCTCTAAAAAAAATGAGAAAGCCTTTGACAATGTTTAGACATTTCTCCGTTCTCTGGCTTCCCGAACTATCAGAAAGGGCAATAAATGGTCATGCAAGCTTCTGGAGCAGCACTTGTTTCAAACACATTTTAAAATTCATTTTCAACAGCATTCCCGAGAAACTTTTCAAAAGAGCACATAAAGACAGTTTCATCCCATGCATAAGTCTCTCCATGCATCTAATTCCCCTGGATTCAGTGCATTTCAACACAGTCACCCTTCTGTTTGTCATTTACTGGGAGCAGACAGTTAAGCAGCTCAGGTAACCTCAAGCGCACGAGCTCAGGCATTGCCAGAGCTAGCACAGCACAGTCTATCTGTCCATAAGCATGAAAATATTTGCATTTTGTTTTCTAAAACAAACTGTACCACTGTGTAGCGTTACCTTTTCATGAATTTCTTGTGTAGACTGAGCATCACAAAATGCCACTGTGGCTACATCCTTCAGAATAGGCATTTCTACTGTACAATCCCTGCCATCCAGCAATGCTACCAAAGGGCGCGGGTGCATGGGCCCGTTCATGATCGGGGGTCGAATGCCTATGAAAACAAAAAACAAAACAAACAAAATAAAGAGAAAAAGGTGTTATTCAAGCCATGATAACCTAATAAAAAAAATAGATTGCAGCTGGTGTCTGTATTCTGAGAGCAGGAAAAGATTTCAAGGATTGCGGCTGCTAAAACAGGAACGGACTTACTGTCATAACAAACAAAATAAAGAAAATAAGAGCAGAGAGGTAAAAAAGGCTACGGGGGCTCAAGAGGCTGAAACGGAAGGTGAAAGAAAACACGGAGTGAACAGTAAATTTGCTTTGTAAAGGGACATCCTTACTATGCTATCAAAAGTGTCCATACCACAATTTATATTGGTTAGATTCCACACTTTGTAAGCGAGAAAAAAAATCCTGTCCAGGCCTATAAGAGCATAATTTACAGGATACCATAAGCAATTGAGTATTCAACTTACATATATGACACTGATCTGCCAAGACTAAAATCACACTGAAAATAATTATCACAGGAAAAAAAATGTGTATCTACTCAAGATCCAGTGTCAAAGCATAAAGTTTAACAGTCAACTGCACAGGTCTGCTTAGACTTGTAAGTTTTACTGTTTTGAGGGGTTTTTTTGGTACACTTATGTATGCCTTGGCCAAATAACAAATCATACATCATCTCCCATCAAAAGCTCTCTGACAAAATATGCACAAAATGTCCACTCCTCAAACAACACCGCGCAGAGCAACATTGAAAAGCGACAAAGAAATGCAGGTGTTTAAAACTTAGGGAAGAGACAACATGTTGAGCACAGACCTCATATTACCCTCTCTGTAGAGTCTTAAACTGAGAAGTAGTCCTTACAACATTATTGAGAGCATCTTTTTCACAGCACAAATGCTGCAAGTATGTGAAAGTACACAGTAATATTATTAGCTATTTTTGTATAAAAGTAGGGTTTAAGTGCAGCTGGCAAAAGGGAACTTCCTGAAGAGATAAGGAAAAATTAAACCAATAAAGCATACGATTTTTCTTGCTTTCAAAACAAGCAGTTTAAAATGCTGCAGAGAGGCTGGGTGTTTCATGTCTGCCTGTTGTTGGCAATTCACGGTAGTGCAACACACACCAGTGCGGAATAGCAACGTTCCCAGCCACCTCCTCAAGGAATTGTTGAATGATTCATCCCAGCCTGGGATTTTTTGCCCAAAAGGCAAACCCTGAGAGATGGTGACTCCACACACCAGCTACCTGCCAAAGGGAAACAGCTCCTGGCAAAAAAGATTTTGCCAGTCACCAGAAGGAGCATTTTACTGCCTCCCTGGGATGAATGGCAGGCCTGGAGCTGAACAAGTACAACTAAGGAGACTGTTATTCTCAATATCTCCATTAACAGTCTCTCCTGCGCCTGTAAATTCTGGATTCAAACTCAAAATGAGAGTCTAGTCCTGGCACCACCTGGCATTTAACCTCTTTACCTATGCAAACAGCTTTATCCTTGAAGATTAAAGCAGGGAGATCGCAAGTTTTTCCTCTATCTGTGCTGTCTTATTCAGTCAGACTGTAAGACCTGGAACAAGTGCAGCTGGCTTTAATATCAATGCGTGGTACATTTTTACAAATATACCATACACAAATGTATGATACATTTTTAATTATTTATTCAGCAACAAACAGCAAAAGGAGCTCATAGAGTCTGGACATGAAGCACTAAATATCCCATTTATACCCCAGCCATCAACATTAAATGGAAGCCTCTTTTTAATATATATGTTTTTTAAAAAATCCTGCATTTTGCTACCTTAATGCTGTTACTTGTATGCGCCAGAAAGAGCCAGATACTCCATGTACCAGTCATATTTTTAATGAATAAACCACATTCCACAGGGCATGAACATAACAGGAACACACAATGCAAATGCTACACAGTTATCCAGAGAATACTTACTATTCTTTAATAAGAACTCAATTATAAAACCTCATATTAAACATATTTAGAAAATACCCTAAAAATAAAGCATGCTACAGACCTTATTATATATATTACTTTGAGAGAGACATAAGATTATTAATAAAGTATAATTATGTTTGAAACACAAATACAAAATGACACTGCAAGTCCTATTTATATTGAATAAATTGTGCTCTTTATACAAATTAAAAGCTATGGTCATCTGCCAGTCCAGCAAAGTCAGATCCGAGTGGCAAGTTTAAGTTCTGCAGAGAGCTTATGAGCTTAAGAGAAGGGCAAAACAAACCAACCCACCCCGAAACAACAAAATCAGTAACTTGGGTAACTTTGAAGGTGATCAGGGAAAAATTTGGTAGAGCTGATTCTCTCATGGCTGCAGCCAGAGCATTTCTGTCAACAGAAGGCTGGACAAAGTCCTAAACACCACGGAGAGGATGAGATTAAAAAAAAAAAAAAAGTCATTCTCAAAAATCACTTTTCTGACTGAAGGAATAAACATACAAACAAGATCCTTCAAAATATTTAAGAATGTGACTTATTTGTCCCTTATTCAGCTATTGATTTCAACTAAGCCACTTGCGAGCTGCTGGGATGAACATAAACACCTCAGAGTCGGCCCTGCTAACAGACTCCTCGCAACCCAACACACCCAGCGACCTTGACCGTGAAACCACGGCAAATACCTCGCCTGCCAAAACCCTTCCTGAAGCCCAGCACAGACTTCCTGTTACACAACCCTTCTGCCCAAACACCCTGCCCTGAACTGCAGACACTGGCTCAGCATTAAACTCACGGTAACCCCATCGCGGTGGCGGCTGCTCTTTCAAGTCAACATCCCTACAACATCACTATGGATCAGAGCCTTCGGAACAACAAGACCTCCTTCTTCCACCCTTCAAGCACCTTCTGCCTGCTCTGTATCTGGCAGTGCCACGTGGCCTGCGTGGGTGGTTTTATAGCAGACCCTGAGTGTGGCAGGTGAAGGGGTGTGTGTTTAAGAGCAGTATTTTCCATGTCTGCAGTAACAGTAAATAATGTAGCTCAGTGCCATGGAGGAAGAACCGTAATCTGCTGAAAAATGACATTCTGCACAGGAAACTCATTTTGAAAAATAAAAATAAATAAATAAATTTAGTTGCCTTACTCAGGTATACAGGATAGTACTGTACATAACCCAGTAAAAATTATACCATCCACCCCCATATTTTAGGGCCTCCATTATTTATACTGGGTGTTTATCCTAACTTCAGACTTGCAGGAACCCCTACCAACCTGCCATTTCTTAATCTGAGCTTGATTTCCAGGGTCATGAATTCGATTTCTCAATGCTTTACAATCTTCTGTATTCTGAGGCAAAACAGCCGCCTCTCACTGGATCCTCATTTCCATGGCTTTAACTTTCCTCGCAGCCTCCTGCGATCTTGAACCAAAGCTTTTAAACTTCTCATCCACTGCAACCTCTGTAGCCTGGGATCGTGTTCAAATTTCTACTAAAAATTAAAACACAAAGAACACATTAAAGCCACATCGAGGGTCTGAGGGAAGCCGGGAGACCCCAAACTGAAGGTTCTCACTGTGCCTGCACCCGTCGCCCTCTCGCCGCATCCACGGCTGCCCCGAGGCGCCCCGGCCGGGTCGGAAGCTCCGGGTCGGGCCGCGCTCGCCCGGGCTCCAGTGTTCCGCATGGAATGGGTGGAATAAGAGGCCTTAACCGCGGACTCGCTGCGTCACTGGGCTTCAGGCCAGGCCCTTTAGGTTATCTCCGCGTGTTTGGCTTTTCCTGACAGCTCCAGCAGCTCTTCAGTTACACGGCGGGGCCTCCCGCTTCCCAGGATGAAATGTGGTGAAGCTCCTGCCTCGGCATCTGTCGCTGTGGCTGGGAGTGCTGCAGCTTTTCCAAAATACCCCCTACAACATGTGCACACAGCTGCAGTCGGAGCAGAACTGTAGGCTTAAGAGCTGCACGTGGGCAATTCAGACTGGCTGCTCCCAAAATAAAGGAGCCTCCCTCTGAAAAAAAATTAAAAGGCAGCTTCTAGGAGGGCAGCCCAACCCACAAGAGATTCAAGTTGACCACGCTGCCTTGCAAAGCAGAAGGTTAATGAACCGATCACCAAAGGGTTGAGGAAAGGCCTGGGGTTCCTGCCTCCATCCCTCCAGCAGCACAGGGAGCCTAAGCTATCAGCCCAGGCCTGGCACGGGACCTCTTTTCTTAGAGCTGGGAGACAACCGACACAAACACTTTCATTTCCTGCTCTTGTCCTATCTGCTGTCACCCTGGAAAGAAGAGTACAACCCTGTGCAGACCACGGGGCACGTTTAAGCAAATAAAAAATCAGACATGTTGACAACTGCAAGGTAAAAACCTTCCCTCGCTGAATTCCAGGCTTAGTTCATTAAAAAAAAAAAAAAAATCTCTTCTAAAACAACCGTTTCTGTTACAAACCGGCAGCAGCTCAAGTGATCCCGCTGCACAGATAATAGTCGCTCAGTGCAGGGTGTCACTTGAAGCCACTTGCTGCCAAGAGGGCAGGAGAGAGACCACAAGGCAACAAGGAGCTAGGAGGATTAACAGAGATTAACAGTGTCAGTTCTGCATTTTTCTGCCACTGATCCTTAGAACACACCAATAATCATGAGTGTCACTCAAAAAAAGGCATAAAAGTTAATTTTAAACTGTCAGGTTTGTAGGCCCAAAATTTGACCTACCTTTCATTTTCTTAAATCTGTTCGCAAAGTCCCTGCAATTCCTTAAATGTGTTTTTCTTGTTTCAAAACGAACGCTTTTTTTTTTCCTCTGAAAAACACTTCAGTGCCAGAAAGCACAACCTTATGAGTAACCCCACAGTGACAAACCAAGAGGCCCACGAAACGCAGGACAGCAGAACTGGGAATGGATTTCCAAGTTTCTTGAGGTCCTTGCAGACAAGACTAAAAGACTAAATAAGCAGTTCCTTAACAAGGTCCCTTTAAGAGTCTTTCCTTCAGAAAAACTCTTATCCCTTATGCACTATAAAGCATCAAAGTGATTGGAGTTTTTAACAAAATGCAAACAACCAAAACTCCCTGAACAATTAACACTAAACTAAACTGGCAGGTTGGATAATCTAGTATAATCTAATTTTACCTTACAGTCTTATTTAGGCATTGATTTTGGTCAAGGTTGTCATTCATTTACTCTGAGTTCTCAAAAATCTAGATATTTTTCATAACAACTACTTTTGACGACACTAGCAAAATATTGTCAAAGCAAGCAAAAACTCCCACCAAATAAAAAAAAAAAAATCCCACTCACAACATGACCACACAAACTGTGAGGAATTAGATATGGCAATAGGCACTGCTAAGTTAGCAGAATTGCTGCATTTTCAAGTTATGTCTTATGGTTATGGTCTTAGGGTTCAAGTTGTGTCTTAGGGTCTTAGGTCTTACAGATACCTCATGAATTCTTGAATTCGGGATTCTGAAAATTCGATTTGCTATTCCCACATGCTTCAAACCTTATTGCAATCAACAGAATCCCAAAATGATTTGCAGGGAACTAAGAGCTGCATCTTGCACTATACAAAGAAGGGACTAGGTCTAAATCTAAGCTTCAGCTTACACATGTGGTCGCTACAGAAGTCTACAGGCTTCACAGTTAATGCTAAACATGCTGAAACTTTCCTGCAGCAGCACCTAGCTAACGGGTGCCACTGCACTCCATGCTTTTTATTTATCTACGTGCAGTAAAAACAAGTCATCTTCCTTCTTTTCTTTTTAATTTGCAAGAGCCCAAGAAAAACAGCAGTGGTTTCCGGAGCAGGGCTGCCCCGATGATGTGCAGGGCAGTCACACCCCTTGATATCCTCCTGCTAATCACAGTGACTGAATTACACCCGCCGCCCTCTCCTTGGCATTCGCAGCTCACTCACTTATATTAAAAGAATAATAAATACAAACCAAGCCCATGAGGACGTGGTTATCACCCTGGTTCATGGGCTTCCGAGTGTATCTCAGCTTAACTTTATCCCTTGGGGAAATGGGTATCCAAGCAGAGTGTCAGACGCCGCAACATGAAGCCCTCAGTGCAGAGCGCCACAGTGCAGCTGCCCTGCTCCGTGCTCCCTTTCGGCACTAAATAAAATAAACCAATGATTTCTACTCAGAAAATTCTTCATTTTCCCTGCTGTTAGTGGTAATCAACATTCCTCATTACTCCTCTGTTCTCACAGAAAATGAATGTGGCTCATTCAGGCATTATGGTCTCCTGACTGTGAGAATATGGTGAGTTTTTCGAAGCACTGTCTAAATCGGCCTTTCCAAACAGCTAGTAATTCTTTTTATTTTTTCTCTCTAATGTCTGTCAGTATGTCTCAAAATACTCAGTGCTTGTCAGGGTACAGAAAAAGAATGTCATACCCAAAAAATCGTGGAGCTTCGGATCAGAAATACAGTTCTGTTAGTGGAAACAAAATCCTCTGGCAATGTTTTCTATTCATTACCCATTTACTTCCAACTTCCATGGGAAAACCAGCAGGAAGTATTGCACATCTCCCCAAAATTACTCAAAAAATTCTGGATTGTGCTGTAACAAGATGCCTGATCTTAGCTAATGTTTTTGAAAATAAGTCTGAAATAATATGAATCACAGCCACTTAATGTCAAATGAACAGCCCATACTGTGAAAAATGTTTTAATGATCTACGAAGGTTAAAAATTAAATCATAATATTCAATTGAACACCTACATGAAATAGTGAAACAAGTAAATGTAAATATTAACCATGTAAGATATAGCAAATACAATACTGTAGAAGCATCTTTTGAAAATAATAGATACACAGAAGCAAGTGCCACAGAGAGGAAAGATGATTTAATGGACAGAGCTTTCCTTTGACATACAGCATCCCAGGGCCTGTCCACAGTTAGGACTTCAATAATGTTGAAAATACTTGAAACCGAGTAAGTAAAGAAAAGAAAGGAGGAAAAAGAACTAGAAATGTCTCTCAAACAATGGCACTGCCTCAGCTAAGGACACATCCACTAACTGCAGCTTCAGGGCCCTTCTGGCCAAGGCTGCTGAGTTTGCTCCCGAGAAGAGGAGCTACAAGGAGCCTGTGAAAGGCCCCGGCCTGAGGTTGTGCCTGCAGCCCCCTCTATTTCCGAGGGGGGAAGGAACGCACTGAAACCCGCTGCAATCCACACCACTGCCAAGCCAAGTTGCTGGGTGGGAGTTGGTCGTCTTAGGCTAGAAAAGACCTCCTGAGAGGAGCTGGAAAACTAATCTGCTTCAACAATCGCACCAGGAGCAGGATGATTAACAGCCGGGGCCATTCCAGGAACAACACGTGCGGTGCCAAGATACACTCAGCCACTTTCCACGGAAGATGTGGTATGGGATGATTGGGAAGACAATAATCGGGATGCAGAAAACAAGGCAAGGACAGGGCAGCAACACAGGGCTGGAATTCCCCAGGAAGCGAAATGCCCTCGATAAAAGCAGCAGGACTTTCGGTCAGGGTGTTATCAGAGCCAACACCTCTGCTGAGAACTTCATACAGGCTGAAGCTCCAGGTAACAGATTTGGACTGCAGTAAACTCAAGGAAATCCTCTTCATCTGTCTGCAATATTTTATGTATTTCATCTATAGAAGAAGTTAAAAAACAGACATAAATCTTCCTCTAGTCCTAAAACATCTTTCCTACAACAAGTCACATATTTCCAGGTTTTGTTCAGGGCTCATTCCCTGAGCTGTCACATGCTTTGAGAAGAAAATAACATTTTCTAAGGCTGTCAATGCAGTCACATTTGTGAGAATTTCACATCATATTTTTAAGACCCTGGCAAAGACGTATTGCAAAGCATCGTTTCTGAATGTAGCCTCTTGTAATGGCTACACTTTGTGCTCCTCTTTCTTTTAGGTATTGAACAGGATGCTCTGAGAGAGAGAAATCCAATAACCCAGGAGCAGCCAACAAAGACTTCCTTTATCCCGATCCCAAACACAGAGGGCAATTTCTCTAACAGCACCCCTGTACTTTGGCCAAGAACGTTAAACTATCACCTGGGACACACCTTGTTTTCTTTATCAAAAAAGCCTCAAGATAAGCAAGTGTGGGGCCTTGGATATCAAATTAGTTTCACAAAGTTTCGTTTTTTGAGGTCAGCAGAACACACTAGATGACACTCAGTAACAAGGCTGAACTATTCCACATGAACACCTTTACTGTCCTCTTTATGCATATACACACACCCATATATATATATATATATATATTTAGAGGAAAGCATCTACTGCGATTCATTTTCCTTTCAACTGAAAAATCACGGTGCTATTTGTGGTGACAATATTTCCAATTTAAAACAAATAAATCAATGAATATAATCAATCAAAATAAACAAGACTCTTATTAACGAAGGAGAGCTAAAAACTTCCCCCAAGTTTTACCACTAAAGCACTCTGAAGTCTGGGCTGTCTATTTCTTAATACCAGGGTACTTTCAAAATG